TCTTCCATGCTCAATGCTGCTCAAGTCAAATCACTATGTCCACACTCCAGGAAGCAAAAAGAAGAAAGACAGAATCCTCTTAAGGATTCACAATATACATCTGATGGTATTGTATCAGCCAGAACTTAGTCATATTACCATATTCTGTGAGCCTACTAGATGAAGCCTTTGTCCTAGGCAGTTCTGTGTATAACAAAATGAGATTTATCTCACCAAGGAAGAAAGAACAGATTTGGAGGATATTTAGCATGTTCATCCTAGATGGTTAATATAGCCGGTTGAATAGATTCCCTGCAAAATATATCTCCACTCCAACCCTCAGAAAGTGACATCATTTGAAAACATAGCCTTTGTTGATGTAAGTACTTAAGTGCCTCATTCTGATAGCATTCTGAATTTAGTTTGGGCCCTAAATTCAGTGACTGGGGTCCTTATTGAGGGAGGAAAGGACATAAAGATACTGAGTAGAAAGATGGAGCTTCCATATGATCCAGCAATTCCACTCCTAGGTATTGACCCAAAGGACACAGAAACATTAATTCCAAAGAGCACCTGCACCCCTATGTTTATAGCAGCACAATTTACAATAGCTAAGCTTTGGAAACAACCCAACGCCCAAAAATAGATGAGTGGATCAAGAAGATGTGGTACATATACACAATGGAATATTACTCAGCATTCAAAAAAGATAAACACATGCAATTTGCAGCAACATGGATGGAGCTGGAAGGGATCATGCTCAGCGAAATAAGCCAGAAAGAAAAAGAAAAATACCAGATGGTCTCACCCATAGCAGGAATCTAGAAAACCTAAATAAGGGACCAGGAAAAAGAATAACTATAAGAAAGAAAAAAATCAAAATCAATAAACAACTATGAACCAGAGACACACTTTGGGGGGGGGTGCGGGGAAAGGCGGGATTGGGGTCAAAATCAGGGGGTTGCAATTGTATGGGAAATATAAAAATAAAAAAAAAGAGATTTACAAACTAAACAAACAAACAAACAAACAAACAAACAAATAAATAAATTGAAAAAAAATAAATAAAGATGCTGAGTAGAAGCCACATGAAGATGGAACCAGAGATTAAAGCAATCTTACCAGGAGCTTCCAGAAGCTGGAAAAGCCCAGGAAGGATCCTCCCCTAGAGCTTTTATTTATTTATTTATTTTAAAAGATTTATTTATTTATTTATACAAACACTGGGTACAGTCAGAAGAAGCGCGGGAGGGTGAGAGAATTCACCAGAGCCAGAGGGGAGAGCAGAGCAGGCAGACTGACGAGGTACACTGCTGAGGGGAGTGGCGGGTGGACCCTCGCCTGGCGGCTGGGGATCAAACCGGTGTCACAGAGGCTGCAGGCAGCTTCGCCCCCAGCGGTTGACGCAACCCAGTGCTGATGCAACCCAGTGCTCAACCGCTGGGCCACCAGGGAGGCCCCTCCCCTAGATCTTTTAGAGAGGATGAGCAACACTACCAACACCAGACTTCCCACTTCCTGAACTATGATAGAATATATTTCTTTTGTATCAAAACATGAAGTGTTTGGCAATTTCTTATATCAGCCCTGGAAACCAATATAGTTAGTTAAATGCTGCTTGTAACTATTCCTGAAATTGAAGGTTAACATAGTATCCCTATAATAATGGCATTTTCATTTTGATTATAAATCCTCTAGTAACCCAGAGGCAGGCTGGTGCTTTCTTTGGTGGAATGTCCATAGTTTAGCATCTGGACTCTCACTATTCTCATCCTGCAACTATGATTTTCAGCTGCACACAGAACAACATGCAAATGTAGTAGAAGCCATTAACATTCACTTAGCACCTACCTGGTTTGCAAGCACACACAAAGCCTACATTTTCTCACTTGATCCATTCAGCCATCTTACATGGTTAGTATTGTACCCACTTAACAGATGAGGACATGGGATGTTAGAGATTGAGTATATTGTGTAGCTACAATCAAAAACAGAGTCAATGCTTAGAGCCAGGTCTGTTTGACCTTCAAGTACAGGGTCTTTTTCCCAAAGGGCCTGTTAGGCTTGGGAATAACTGACTGAGCTAGCTCACAAAATGCTTTTTGCCAAAGGCCTATTAGTTTGTGGAGGAGGATGAAGCTTTCCAGTGACTTCGTGTTCACTTCCAAGCATCATTTTCCAAGTCAAAGCAATTCAACTCAAATAAACTCAATACATCTTTTTTAGCTGGGCCCTAAAGGGGCTATATTAATAGAAAGTTGCTTACAGTTTGGCAGTGGTTAGGGCCTGGATGTCTGTAATACAGCTCCATGAATGTCTGTGGACACTGGCCATTATACCTGATGATATGTCACAATTAGTTATGTCATCATCAATTCTGAAGCCCTATTCAAACCTATGGACTCTGAATATTTGAGAGTGGACCCCAGGACTCTGCATTTTAAAAAGCTCTCTGGGTGATTTTTTTTAAAAAAAATCCTGATTGGTCCATTTAGCTTGAACCTGATTGGCCCATTTAGGATTCTGGAGCTACTTATAAAAGGGAAAAGCCCAGCTTCTGCCTAAACCAGCCTGTACTCAGGTCAGGGCTCAAGTGGGCTCCAGGGAGCCATGGCCAGAAACAGCCTTGTTAGGGCCAGGATTGCGGAAATAGTTGCAAGCTGCGGGCTGAGGCCAGCATAATTCAGGACCCAAAATACTGCCTTGCTTGCCCCTTACCCCGGGGCCTCTGGGATCCAGTTACAGATTGATGGCTTGAGGTCACAGATCATGGGCATTTTTTTTCTTCACTGATTGACTTATGTTCAACTGCTGTGCACATGGAACCCTTCTCAGCCTGGGTCTGGGTGATTGTGACCCAGTTAGTCCAGCCTGTGTGTTTCGGGACACATTTCTCATACAACATCTTGAACTGATATTCATATCAGTGATAAATGAAAACAGTAGATATATATGAAAACATGATTTTTCTTAGTAATTATGGTAGGATACTCATATCTGAAGTGTTTCAATAATTAAGAACTATGTTGACAAATCCTGCAGCATCTGAACAACACTGCTTATTCCTCTGATAAATATCATCAAGAGGTCATATGGTCTGTCTTAAATACAATCAAAAAGCATCAGGCAACACGCTAACTTTACAACAACTAGACAGCTCAGTTGGGCCAAGTTCTGAAGTAATGCAGCATTTCACTCCAGCAGCCCTTGGGGAATTCAGAATACGGAGAGGCACAAAAATAGGCACATGCACTTCCATCTCTGATGGATTCTCCACAGGTTAAAGGCGTTTCAGTCACAAAGGTATAATCACACTTGAAGGCCTGGCCTATTACAATAATATCTATTCACAACAAATCCATTGCATCTTAACTTTCACTTGAATGAAGTGTAACCTCTTCACTCTTCAGGAAGGTAGGTTATTTTCCTTTAAAATTCTTTCTACTTAGCACAGAATGGAATGCTCTAAAGATGCACTCTGTTTAATAGACACGACAGCTGCCAAACAGGCCTACTGGCAAACTTATTTAAATTTTAATCATCGTGGAAGGGAACACAGAAGGAGAGAGCTGTATAAATTCTCCCACCAGTGTAGCAATAAAAATATCCAAACAGTACAGGAATGATCAATTTAACCAGTTTTCATTTTGTGGAAATAAATTTTGCTAGGCACAGTGCACTACTTTTTACTCATAGTCAAAAAATAAATTCAAGGGAAGTAGGTATTCTAGGATTTGTATTGTTTAGTATTATTATTAGCAAAAAGACCAGTTTTCCTTAAAAGACATTTCCATTAATGCAAAAATTATTAAACTAAAACAGGAATTTGATTTGGGAAAAATAATGTATGGAAGGAAATATATGAATGATAGATGAATGAAGGGAAATGTTTTTTTTCCCCCAGCCTACCAAGGAGAAAGAGCAAAAAATGTTAAAATATTAAGATTCCATGAACAGGGCCTCCCCGGTGGCGCAGCGGTTGAGCGCTGGGTTGCGAAGCTGCCAGCGGCCTCTGCGGTGCCGGTTCGATCCCCGGCTGCTCCCTGGCCACCAGAGGAGGGTCCCACATGGCGCGCAGACCTCTCCTGCTGCCCGCTGCTCCCCTCAGCAGTGTACTTCGGTCCTTCTGCCTGCTCTGCTCCCCACTCTGGCTCTGGTGAATTCTCTCACCCTCCCATTCTTCTGACTCCCCAGTGCTTGTATAAATAAATAAATAAATAAATAAATAAATAAATAAATAAAAAAAAAAAAAAAAAAAAAAGATTCCATGAATAAAAACTTGAGATTAATCTTTCAATATATTGAGGATGTTGTCAAGAGGAGGTCATTCCCACCTACAGCAAATCTAGAGTCATGAAGGGTCTTTACTCCCTATATGCCTGTGAGTCTGAGAGCTGCAAAATGTAGTTGTGAATATTCTGATTCTAGGTTTTCTGGGTTCAAATGCTGACTCAGACTCTTCAATGCTGTGTGACATTAGACATCATCCTTAACCTCTCTGTGCCATAGCTTCCTCCTCTATCATGAAGACAATGATAGCACCCATGCCATAGGACTAATGTGAGAATAAAGTGATCTACTACATGTGAGGCCCTTAGAACAGTGTCTAGGACACAGTGACCACTCAGTTAAGTCTAGCTGTTAGTAATACCTAACTTAATTGAGGGCCATCTTCTCATTCTGTTTACCAGAAGAACAGGGGCCGGCATGAAATTGATGGGTTGCTAAGGAGCCAGTGTAAACTGCACCTTATAGTAATGGGGTAATGCAACAAATATTTACTTTAAGATGGCACTATTCTAGATGCCTGGATTATGTCAGTGAACAAAAATAAACACCTCAATCTTCATAGTGTTTACAACCCAGGAGGGCATGAAAAGTAAATAACAAACATGATAAGTTATATCATATGTTAGAAGATAAGTATTTGGTGAAAAAAATAGTAAAGGATACAAGGAGTTAAGAGTTTAGGTAGAGGGGATCCATTACATTGAGAAGGTCACATTAGAGCATAGATAAGAGTGCTCACTTCCGCAGCACATATACTAAAATTGGAACGATACAGAGAAGATTAGCATGGCCCCTGTGCAAGGATGATATGCAAATTTGTGAAGTGTCCCGTGTTTTTAAAAAAGGACAATTATAAATCAGAGACATCCTGCAGGGGGGAGGAGGGAGAGGGATCAGAGGGAGGAAGGGTGGAGCACAGGGGACTGAGGTAATGGTGCACGGGTGCACTGGTGAAGGAAACTCTATGGGGACTACACCTGAGGGGGTGGGGAAGCAAATATTGTTTAAAAATGAACAATGATGTAAAAAAAATTAATATAGAATGTAGACAAGAAAGGGTGAGAGGAGTTGACACTGCAGGGAATCAGGAGGAAATATGCTCAGCAGGGGGACCAGCAGGGTAAAGACCCTAAGAGAGACCAGGACAGTGTGTCTAGAGTAGGCTGAGTGAGATGGGGAGCAAATGGCCATGAGTGACATCAAAGACTTAACTGAGGCTGGGGTGGAAGAGTGTGAGTATGTGAGTGTGTGTGTGTTTGTGTGCTGGGCTAGGGGTGGGGTGGGAGTGGGTAGATTGTCTAGGGCCAGACAGACACCAAAGAACTTTCTTTGAATGTGATGTGGAACCACCATGGGATTTTAAGCTGAGGGGTCCCATCATCTGAGCTATGTTTTACAATCTAGCTGCTGTACAGGGAATCTAGGAGATCCAGGAAGAAGCAGGAAGACTAGAGAACAGTTTGTTCAAGTAATTCGGAGAAGAAATGCTGGTGACTCAGAACAGAGCAGTGGAAGTGATAAGTGATGGGATCTGTGTACGTTCTGAAAATAGAGCTGACAGAATTTCCTGATGGATTAGAAGTGGAATGTGAGCGAGAGGGAGAAATCAAGGGTGACTCTCAGACTTTTGACCCCCAAAACACTCATCGACTGATTGGGGGAAAGACTTCATATAGAGTAGGTTTCAGGTAGGGGTGATTAAAAAGTCTCCATAATTATTTCAGTTTGCTTGATGAGCTTTCTCAGCAATATTCACCTTCAAAAGAAGACATGTGTTTCATTTCATTAAAAAAATCTACTATTATTGAATTGTCAACAAATTATAGATAAACACACTAAGTTAACCATAGATATCTAAGTTTATTGAAAAAAAAGTTGAAGAAAAATATGATTGTTATAGAAAAGTGACCTCTTTATTACTTTTGAAAGTGAGAAAAGCTGGTTATTAAAAAAAATTTCCCCATTGATAAATATAATATATATTCATTACAAGAAATTGGTAAGCATAATTAGAAATTAGGGGGAAGTAATCTGTAGTTTTACTACCCAGAGAAAACTCCTATTAACATTTTTTTCCCTATTAATATAAGATGTTAATTTTGAGGATCTTTATTTTTATTTATTTATTTTTTAAATTTTATAGAGGCATGCTTATTTATTTATTTATTTGTTTGTTTGTTTTGTTTATACATGCACTGGGTACAGTCAGAAGCGCGGAGGGTAAGAGAATTCACCAGAGCCAGAGTGGGGAGCAGAGCAGGCAGAAGGACCGAAGTACACTGCTGAGGGGAGCAGCGGGCGGCAGGAGAGGTCTGAGCGCCATGTGGGACCCTCCTCCTGTGGCTGGGGAGCAGCCGGGGATCGAACCGGCGCCGCAGAGGCTGCGGGCAGGTTCGCAACCCAGCGCTCAAATGCTGCGCCACTGGGGAGGCCCGAGGATCTTTATTTTAAAAGTAACTTTGTAGCAATTTGACTTGCACTCTTAAAAGGATAAGTCTCATGGAAAGGTAATACATAATATTATATTTTGTGTTTAATCCCAAAGATCCTTTAACAGACGCAGTAAATACTCATTTCTAGACACAATCAGAATTCAGAAACAGCCAAGCAAACAGCCAAACTTTGGGTTTCTGTACCTCTGTGCCAACATTGATAACTACAGGTTGACAGGGAGAAAAATGACAGGTTGGAAGATGAGTAGATTGGTAAAAGATAGGCATATATAAAAAGGAATTTTCTTCATATGTTATCATTTTATGTCTTTCCTTTCTCTCTTCCTCATGAAATCATAGATATACCTATCTATATATGCAACTCAGAACCTACATACTTATATATTTTTAAAGATTTATTTATTTATGCATATAAGAGCCAGGGTACAGGCCAGAGAAACGGGAGGTGAGAGGATTCACCAGGGACAGAGTGGGGAACAGAACAGGCAGACTGACTGAAATACACTGCTGATGGGAGCAGTGGGCAAGACAGGAGAGGTCTGCTGAGCCATGGCTCCCTGGCCAGCCGGCGATCGAATTGAACTTGTGCTGCAGAGGCTGCAAATTGCCTCATAATGCGGTGCTTAACCCCTTGCACCACCAGAGAGGCCTGAAACCTACATACTTATAACAAGTGTCATATTGATATATAATTTTGTATATTGCTTTGTTCCCATGATAATAAATATGCTTCTATATTCTGTAGCATCTAAACATTTTTAAGGACTTCATATTACCTCTTCCATTGGATAAACATAATTTTCTTCTATCAATCGCTTATTTTCATCTCAAATGAAGTGACTTAACAGGATTGAGTCCTTGATCATCTCTTCTCCATCTCCAGCCACTCTCAATCCAGCTCATGACTTCAAATATATATATATAGTGACAACTCTCAAATTTATATCGCCAACACTGACCTTTCTCTCTTCTCCTGACTTGTATGGATGACATTTTTATTAGAAAATTTTTTCAGTTTTGTATTCAAAATATTTTTAGTGCTGTATATGCTAATATTCCTTTTGTTGGCCTTTATCCTAATATTTTTCAATTTTTGATGATTCTATGACAATATGAGAGTTAGGTACTGCTTGGATTTTGATTTCCTTCAGGTATGGTGAGGGCAATAAATCAAAAGATGACTACTATTGAAAAAGTAGTTTGATGGATGTTACCTAAACTTATTGTGGTGAACACTTCATAGCATATACTTATATCTAATTAACAGGTTGCACATCTAAAACTAACACAATGCTATATATCAATTACATCTTGATAAAACTGGGGGAAAAAAGGTAGCTTCTTAATTCACAGTTCCCGAGGAGAGGGTCATGTCAGGCCTAGCAGAACCATTTGGGGAAACACAAGGCTCGATCAGGAGGCAGAAGGAATGTGGAGAAGACATTGGCAGGAGTCTTTACTGTGGTTTCTGTAGGAAAGGCAGGTTTAGAATTAAATAGTGTGAATCATTTCAAGGAGATCGGGGTTCTTGGGGAGGTCCCTAGTTGCACCTGGCCCTGGGGTGATCTAGGGCAGGGAACAGTGTCCTGAACTATAGGATTTTGGTAAAAGGTGAGTGGAGGAATGGATTTAGGATAGATTGGTTAGCACATCAAAGGCGTGTTTGCAATCCCTAGGAATTGGCTAACCGTAGGAGGGGCAGTCCTTCCCTGTGAATAAGGCCCCAAGATATTAAAGCATCACAACATATAGAAAGGTCATACATATTAAAACCACAATCTTTCTGACTCATTCAGGCCTTTTAATATGCCCCTCCCTGGCCTTGAACACTTCGCCATTCCCCATTTGCATGACTATTCCTCACCCTTTCAGAGCCTCTCTTGAAGATGCTTGTCTTTTTCATTAGTCACTGTATGTCCAGGACTCAGCACACTGCCTGGTATTGGTGAAGCCTTAGGGACTATCTCCAGAATTTTAGAGAATTTAACATAAATATTGACCTCAGCTTGTAAGGCTGTGTATATAAGGCTCTCATTAAAAATTACAAGCCTGTTTCCCAAAGAGGCCAAGCTGACACATTTAAAATATTTGGATGGTTGTGACTCAATTTTCTTTTTCTTTCTGTTGGCCCTGCCAACTTTGCCCTTCAGAGTTAAACGATCATGTGTGCCATATGGTGGTAGAAAATAGCCTTAAAATTAGCAGTTGAATCCATCAGTTAGCAACCTGACATTGCAATTTGAAGGTAGTACATTGCACATTTCCAAAGCCTTTTAAACCTCCTATTTAATTTTAGTAGGTCAGATAACTTCTTAAAGACTTCACACTGTTAACAACATTCAGTAATGCTATTAATGCAAGTGGTTTTACCACTTTGAAACATCTGCTCCTATTTCCAAAGTAAGATGTTGGAGTTGCTGGAAACTTTAGAAATTTGACCTGGTTCATCGTTTCAAAAAATTCAAAACTTTTCCAAGCTACCTTATTTTTATACCTTACATATTTTGCCCTATTGTCTTGGGGAAGAAAGGACTCAATTCAAATGATTCTGCGTTTTTCTCTAACAAACCATGAAGTCGAAAACAGAGAGTGGCTTGGCAGCAAGTTGAACACTGTGGCTGCTCGTGAATGTTGGACGAAGGATCATAAATTCTAGAAAATGCCATCTGATTATATTTATGTCAATTTACATGCTTTTCCTTTACTGAGAATAGCTCTGTATCTTCCAAATGAAGTCTTTTGTCCCTCAGCAAGTAAGAAATTTCTGAGCCATATCTAACCTTTAATTACAAATGAAATGATGGTGGAATTTGAGAAATGATAACGTTTCCCAGATCAGGTAAATGGAGTACTTTTCCTGTAGGAAGGAGGAGAGAGGGGCTCACAGTGTCTCTTTTACTACACCTGACAAATTCTTACTAATTACTACATAGGAATGTAGAGCAAGTTGAATGAAAGATGCCATGCTAAATGCATTATTCATTCTCTCAGCTCTGAGTAAGCATGCTGATGCACCAGCCATTTGCCTGTTGGGCTTGCAGATAGCAGCCTGAAATGTAGTCCTTGACCTCACAGAAAAGCATCATTTAGAAGCTCTCTTCATGACCTTGGTTTCTCTTCTTATGCTCCCAAAGCTATTGGTATTAGGTGGAGCTCTAGGTTTCAAGAAACAAAAGCCATGTTGATTCAAATTAAGCAAAAGAGAGAAATTTCTTCTAAGGTGCACAGATTTCTCATGGAAATTCAGGGTGACACTGAGAGGATAGTTAGAGGGAACACATCTGTCATGGGAATCTGACACATTTGCTGCTCTCCTTCTCTTTTTCTGGCAAATTTCCTTTTGCCTCTGAGACTATTTATCTCTACTCCATAGTCCACAAAGCAA